GAAACATTATACACCACGATAAAGATTGTTTATCTACTCGTGAAAAAAGTCCACTCGTTACTTCGTCACTCCTAAACTTAACCTTTTCACTCGTAGATAAACAATTTCTTTATCGTCTTGTATAAATAACTATTTTGAGTGTTTTAATACGTTTTGCAATTATTTCGAAAAACAAGCTGAAAAATCTCAGAATTAAGCTGAAAATGATGTAATTTTTGACTTTTTCGAGAGTTTAAACGGATTCGAAAATTCCGTTGTGTCAAAAATCACTGAATTGTTATAAAAAAGTATATATTTTTGTCCAACTCTTGGYCATTTAAAAAATTAAGCTTTCGACACTATTGTTGTAATGTTGTAATCTGGTGAAAATTGGTCTCAACTCTTGCAATTCGGATCTGGTGAATTTTATTTTTTGAGCTGGCATCACTAGTTGTGGGTGACGTGAAATAATGACATAATAGAAAAATAATTTGGAACAGCAGTTGCCACTTGGGATGGACAGTGATTGACAGCAGTCGGACCATTTACTTTTTTTTCAAACAAAATTTCTAGAACATATCAGAAAGAAGAAAAATTTCATACTACAAATTAAGACATTTTGTGAAAAATATACTAAAAATTTCTATAAATTAAAAAATTTGATCAATTAATCAATTAATTAATTAAAAAATTGTTAGTAATAGAGACATGTAAATTTGTTTTCACTGAATCTTTTACTCTTCAATCCTGATCGGGGTTCAACATTGTAGAAAACAGAGTGTGAAGAATAGAGAATCTCGATCGCATTTAATCACATTTAATTTTGACTGATTATTAACTACTTAATTATACATCGAATCGCAAAATTGATTTTTTTTTCTAGCTTCTCACATGAATAAATAAATTAAACACATTAAAAATTAAAAACTGAAAATTTGATTTTTTATTCCACATAGAAAAATATTCTCTTCTCTTTAAACCGAAATTTTTGAGTTGTTTGGGAGCAAATCTAACATTGACTTTCCCTCCACCTGCAAACGGTCGAGTGCCCCTTAAGGTTATTGCCTTTGTCTAATTAGTATAAAATAATAAAATCCCTTAATGATGCCACAACTATAAAGCGCYGTTTGAAAATAAGAAAAAASMTAATCGCCCCACGAGCAGTGGTTTGAAAGAGTAAAACAGCACTTGTCGTGAATATTATTATGGTGAATTTTTGTGTTTGTTAAGACGCACATGCATGGTTTATATGTTTACTYGCAAATTTTAAATATCAATTATCCCTCAGGAGGTTTCTTCCATCAAAGTCTGGAATGCAAAGGTTTATGTCAGATATACGAGCATTTTTCTCGACTCGAGTCTGAAAATATGAGCGTCCTTGCACCATTGTCATGTTTATTGTTGCGTTGCAAAATAAACCAACAGCTTGTTCTTGTTGTAGGGTTGGGGAAAGTTTTTCTTGCTTATCTATTTTAATGGTTGGACATCCATTTGAGCWCTTAGTTGTTAATGCATTATAAGAATATTTTGCAAGCATAAGCAGCGAAGATAAGTGAGGAGTTTTTCGCGCTTTATATTGTTCAAGAGCAGCCATATAATTAAGAATTTTTTCAAGTTGAAGTATGCTATTTGAAGCAAGTCGTAAATATCGAAACGGAGTCAAAGTACGATGAGTTGCTTACAATGAAACCATATCGAAACCTATGGTATTTTCTTTATAATGTCTTCGTTGAAAAACTATCAGTGCTCATTATTGTGACATACCAGACATTTTCTTGTCATTCGTTCCAATTCTCTGCTCGTAATGTCGACTATTAACCATAATAATGCGAGATAAAAATGAATTTCCTGAAGTCGAAAGAGACAATAGTCCAAGTTGCAGGTTGCTCATACTAACTCAATTTTATTTAATCGTAAATTTTACACATGTTGACGGCAAAAGTAAAGCAGACCGCGAGCAAGAAATATTTTGTTTTATTATGGTACACGGATCTGGATAATAAATTGTATTTTTATCATATTGATTTTATAGCCTCTTTATTTTGTCTCGCACGTCTGTTCTGGTGACATTTGAATAGCAACAATGACCAAGGACGATCGTACCTTTACTGTTCACTTTGGAACAACCAACGCGACACTGAAAACCAAGCGAAATTGGTGCAAGCTTTTACAGATTTCAGGGCTGAAAAGCTACGACTTGGGCAAAAAATTTGGACGCTAAACGATCACAAATTAATTTGTAGACGTCTAAATGTAATCAAGGTTTAACTCAGGCAATTTGGTCTCTACCTCTTTGTAAGAAGACGAATAAAAAATAAGTCTCAAAAACTTATTTTGACCGAAAATAGTTCGTAAAGTTGTACTTTTCGGGACTCATATGGCATTTTTGCCTTATTATACAAGTAACTATTAAGTAGAAAGTATAAATTAACTTTGCTTATCGGCCATTTTTTTTAATAAAACTTTTGAAAGTTTTTTCATGTTTCACAAAAAACTCAATTTAATTAATGCATTTTTTAAATATCTTCGGCACAAATTTTTTTAGAAAACGTAGATAACGTAGATTCTGACATTTGTTCCATTTTCTTCTTTGTTTTGTTAAATGACATAAAAACATGTTGGCAAGTTACCAAAAATTTTTGCAAAATTTTAAGAAAACGTTGTTTCATATAATTTTTGTTTTCTACAGAGCCTTCATTAGAAGTGATGAAATTGTGCAATTTTTACATTCGTTTTTCAACGTATTTCTTTACTACGTTTTTTTTCTATAGCAGATGTTTGATCTATTCAAAACAAAAGGTTAAGAAACCTCAAGGGCAAGGGTAGATAAAATAATTTTCCTACGACGCTAACAGAAAGTAAGTTTTTCCACCCTAATTTCAGAAAGAAAAATTACCTTCCTGGACAGTAAAAAATTAACCTTCTAAATTTGTCAAGTTTACAATAAAAATATATGTAACCTCTCAGGGAAGTAAAAATTTTACCTCCCGCGAAAACATGCTGCTAGATTTAATGGCAAAATTGAGATATTTAGAGAAATTGTTAGTTTTGAAGTTTTTCTTGAAAAATCGCAGGAAAAATTATATGTATTTCATTAAAGGAAAGTGTTTATTTCTTCCTGAGTAGTTATTTATTCCACCTGTCGGAGGGAAAAATACACTTTCCTCCCTTGTATAATAGGAATAACTATTATTAACAAAAATTATTTTACAAATAAATGTTAAATCTAACACGATTTTATTTTTTTAATATTTTAATGATAAAATACACAAATACTATAGAAAAAAAAAGTATTATACACGACGATGAAGATAGCTTATCTACACGTAAATGACTCTCCACTCGTAACTTCGTCACTCGTGAACTTAACATTTTCACTCGTCAATAAACAATTTCTTTATCTTCTTGTATAGTAAATAACTATTGTTTTGTCAAACTTAAAGATTACAAATTTCAAGTTGACAATAACCTTCAACTCAGTTTCAACACTGAGAAAATAAGGAGTAAAAGTAGGGAGAAATATTTTTGTTTCCCGGCCCTGGAAACACCTTTTTTATACATAAACTAAAAAAAATTGCCATATTTTGCCAAAGTCAAAACATACTGTCGTTGTTTACATAAATAATCAATTTTCTGAAACGGGCAAAACCAATAGTTTTTTGATTTTGGGGTCGCTGGGAATTTTATTTTGAAAATTAATCTTGAAAAGAGAACAATTTTTTCTCTTCTCGTTTCTTCATATTTCAAAAACGGATAGTTGTAAATTTGTTGAAAATAAAGACATTTCTTTATAAATTGTTTTTAATTTTAAGTTTTAGTTTTTTACGGGGGGTGTCAGAACTTGCGCCCTAAAGAAAAATTTCAAATAAGATAAGGTACCAGGAGCATGGAAAAAATGTTTAAAAAATTCGATCTGTCAAAAGAATTGGACATTTATTTTTTGACATTTGACATTTTTTTACGTTTATTTAATGATACTTATGATGTTGTATATGTTTTTTTTATAATTATTTCCTTGTTTCCTCTTCTAATAGCCTGTAGCAAAAAAAAATTAAAAAATTAATCTTCCAACAGAAATAAATACGAGTCAAAATGCAAAATTTAAACTCTCATAACTTCAAAATTTTTACTGTATGTCCAAATTCCAATGCTTTACGATTTGTTATTCAAGAAGAAGGAAAAAAATAGAGCATACATTTATTACTATTATAAATGTATCTATTTAAAATTTTAGAAAAATCAATTGGTATAGCTTTCTTGAATTATTTTGGTGAAGTTTTGGTCTTCTATGTCAACTTTTTTATTATTATTTCTATAAGGATTTTTTTGGTTTTTAAAGAACAATGTGATATACTTAAATTAAGTATAAGAATTACGTACACTCAGTTATACTTAAAGTATAACTTCATATTTATTTGAAAACCAACTATTGAACTTAAAATGTAGCTGTTTACAAGGGTTTAATATAGACAACCAACAATACGACAATTTTCTAAATTTGAAAAAGATCAGAATTGCGACTTAATTGTGACGATTATTATGGTACTTATAATTTATTATTAACGTTTTTAGTAGGTTTTGTACTGTTTTGTACTCTTGGCAGTGAAAAAATAAAAAGAAGAAAAGAATAAACAAAAGTAAAAAAATAAAAAACACAAAACTTTTCATATTAAAGTCGATTATTTTAATTCGTAGTTTTGAAAATACAAAATTTTACATTTTTCCTGCAACATCAATTTTTTGTTTTTCAAAAAAATCAGATTTGTATTACTCAGACTTTTCTTACATAATTTGTTTGTTCCATGAACTTCTTAAGAAATGCGAAATGTGTCACTAAATGGTGGGAAAACTCTTTTCGCTAACTTTACAACAAATATTTACACAAGCTTGCTTTATACATTGAACGTTTTGTCAGATTTTAAACATAAAAATCTTACTTAAATATTCAAATAGAGGATTTAAAAAGTAATTCAAAATGCCGTTTAATTATAAGTTTTGTGTTTTTGCCTCGCATCGCTTACCCCGTCCTCGCCTTCTTTCCGGCTTTGCCTTCCACTTTCCCACACTTGTCCATTTTCGCACATGCGGTACTCACATACCTACTAAAAAAGCCCTCACAACACACACCGAAAACCGTCGTGACTTGGCACAGCAAGTCCTCGGTGTTGTTCAAACGGCGCGATGTTGCGATCTGTTCGACCGGAGTTCTTAGACGGTACCAGCCTAAGGTCTGAATAGTCTCAGGAAGGGACTTTATTGTGCATTTTTAACCGCTTGACGAAGTCATTTGCTGCCTATACAATAAAGTCTCGATTTTTTAAACTGTTAACAGCTTGAATCATAAACCAGAACCAGTCTCGGCGGCAATCAGACTCTTTACCACATGATAAATTATTGTCATCAATTTCATTGGAATCAAATGTAAGAAATGTTTTCGAGTTGTTGATTTTTGACCGCGAGCTAGGTCAACGTGGATTACATGCCGTACCGTGAAGAATTCACCTTTGTATTGAACTAAATCAATTCTCTGAGCGAAACGTCCACCAAACGGATTTCGGTACCTGGGGCGAAAGACACGACTATTTAACGCATTTTGCCGACGTTCAAAGAACAACTACAGTAATAAACCTGCTACAGAGAAGGCAACTAGCAGGAAGTTAATAGATACAATGGCAGCCTGGGGGCGTCTCGAACAATCACTGAAAATGGGAGTGCAGACGAACAGGTGAGACGATTTCGAGACACAACTGATGACAATTTTACCAATTTTACTAATTCTCACAACCATGGGCTTAATTATTGCTAAAATGACTAAATAGCACTGTAAGTAAATCTTACTGTGATACTTCTGCCATAGATTTAACTTTATGGTAAGGCTGGATTACTGTTATAAATCCATTTATCGATTCATCGGCAATATTTCTACAATAATACGGTACAGAACTGGCAGTGCTTTTCTTAAGGTGACAGGAATATTGCAGAGATTGTTCCAGATGATTCAAATTTTTCWGATCCTTGATAAAGACTCAAATGGTGAATATTTACARAAAAKTTATTTGTTGAATGAAACAAACTCTGAACTCGACCTGAAGATTAAATAAAAAGTGCATAAATACAAATGCCAAGTCAACTGAAAACATATGAGAGAATAAAACAATAAGTAACAGTAACAAAAAGATACATAATAAATTATGTAAAAGACAAGAATTGTAGGAAAACTTTTAGTTTATAGAATGCTTATGTTAATTTATGGTTATTATTTGTATAATATTAGGCTTTAAAAAAATTTCCGATTATTTTGTTAAAGGAAGAAAATAATTTCTCAAAAAAAAATAAAAAGTATGGAACCAAAGTAATTATTTTTTGAAAAAACTAATTGATGAATGATAAAGTATTATCCCTATAAAAATGTGACGTTTTATTAAGAATAAAATTTTATGAAATTTTGTTTTATTTTTGGGATCTGCAAAATTTTTATTTTTTTAAATAGCAACCCACTATAAAAAAATTAACAAAGGCAATTATTCAAAAATTACAACTATCTACATTTAATTAAATTTTTATCATTTTTTTTTCATGTTGATTGCAATTTTGACAAAAAAAACTCTAAAAAAACACAATGTCATTCTTAAACCACGTTTACGAGTTTTATAGCACTTTAATTTTTATTAATTATTATGGTTTGAAGGCAAATGATTAAAAAAATCCGCTTGGTTCCATACTTTTTATTTATCCTGTATGTATTATAAATTGGTTTTCTGGGCAATTCTATACCATGAGTAAAACAATAATTAATATAAAAAACTTTATTCAAAAATAAATAGTAAGTCACGTTTTTGTCAAATTGAAAAAAGGGCTCATTTTTAATAATCGCTCTAGGGCTCAGTTTATTTTGTAGAGAATATTTAGTAACTTTTTTTTATTTAAAAATATTTAAAAAAACCGTTCGATACTGTTTGTAAATATCCCAAATGTATTTAAAAAAATATGCTTCAGTAATGAAGAAAGTGAAGACTTAAGATTTTCAAAAGTATTTATTGATTTAACTAGTGCAGTTAGCAGTACAAAATGTCAAATGATGATATACAATGTACTCCTCCAGAATTTGCTAAAGCAGCAAAAGAGACAACATTATTGGTAAATGTTATGGTAAAAGTAAAAACGCCTAGGCGCAAAAAGAGTTTCTACTAAAGAAAAATTAACTTTAGTGAAAGTTATTGATATAGTTTTTATGCCGAAAAAGTTACTTTTTTATAATGGTATTTTCATTAGTTTATTTGGCGAATTGAGACTTGCCTGAGTTCAGTAATTTTAACTCTTTCCTCTTTATAAGATTTATTTTGTTTATTTCAAAGACAGTTATTTTTTATAGTCTGAAACTTCGTTGAAATTTTGCAAACACATTTAAAACAAGACGATTTTTTTAAGTAGTGGAAAACAAAGAACATTAAAGACGTTATGGTCTCTGTATTCAATGTTAAAAGCAATAGTAATTATTAACAACGACACTAACATCAGTAAATTTGCGAAAATAGTTGCCTATGCAGGTAGGTAAAAAGTGTTCATGAAGAAGTTTTAGACAGATCAATCCCAAAAAAGTAGAGTTTGACAAAAATGTACAAAAAAGTTGAACTTTACGGCCGCAAAAGAGCTATAGAAACTCCATTTTTGTAACGAACCCCTAAAAAATATTTTTATAAACCTTGGCTCATAATGTAATAAAAATTTTCCTGATTTTAAACAATTTTGTTGGACTGAGTCGGAAAATTACTAAACTGAGTCTAATAATAGTGCTTCCATGTTTTTTTTAGAAAAAATGTCGTGTCTTGTTAAATCAACATTTAGATGTGTTTTTCGGTTCTTTTTAATTATTTTGTCTCATTTCTTAATAAAAAAACATTTTCAATTGCCTCTAAACATAAAAATTTTAGTTGATTGCCTATTTTTGGTCACCTTAGCTCTCATTTTTTGCATTTTTTTGTAGAAAGATAATTAAATTACTCTTTTATACATTGTTCTCACATATAATTGATTAAAAAAAATATTTTAGAATTATTTTGACAATTTCAACTAAAATTACTAGCCTGTGAAATTAAATTGGCAACAATGTGACAAAAAAAAATCTTGTCAATTTCTATAATTTCTGTCTGTTTTTCAACGATGTCAATTTAAATTAGAATTCACAGAAAAAGATGAATTCTCCGTRTTTGTTTGTCTTCGGGTTTAGTMAATTGTGGATTTTCTTATCTTCATCCAATATTGTAACGATTTAARTTTTTGTTGTMTTTYTGAGTAATTTTTGAAACTTCTTATCAACGCAAACCATTCCGCGAAACACTTTAATTCAAGAAAAGTTATGTACTGAAACAAATTGTTTCTGTCTGCTCTGCTCCTACTCGTAAATCTAGCTAATTGCATAAATACATAAATGGACAACACAAACACAATACTAATTTCACGATACATTAACAATGATAGCTTACTGCTTATTACACCAAATGAATTTTAAATTTACACATTTACGTTACATGAGCCACTTTTTTCAATTACTCCCAATGATTTATCGTTTGAAATGAGAAAGTTTTCAGAGAAAAATGTTGCATCACAATTAGCTTTAATTTATTCACACACCTCGTCGTTGTTTTTCAAGAGGTTATTTACTTGACATTTTTTGAACTAGTGTTTCGGATATTTCACTTGAAGAAACTCTTCATTAATCTTAAAAGAGTTCATTAATAGTCATCCTCTAACCGGATTCGGAGCTAGCACACAAAGAAAAATCACTCAACTGTGGTAAAAAGCGAAATTTCTTGAGTGCATCACCGAAGAATAAGAATCCCTTCTTCACTCGCATTCGAAGTTCGAGTACTCATCAAAGTCACTCAACCGATTCTTCAGTTAAATATTTCGGATGTGATTAAATTAAAAAAAAAACACATTTGTCTTACAAATCCCTTTAATCAACTATTTAACCAACGCTTCTACTATAAAACTTAGCATTATCTTCATTGAAGTAACAATTATGTTAAAACTTGTCACTGAAATATGAACAGTGAATAAATAAAATATGTACACAAAACGCACTCCACATAAAAACCAACAGGTGATTATGGCAATCTCGACAATCACGCATTAAAAAATACAAAATCCCATAGAATACAACTAATTTGTTACAAAATTTCACTATCATCTACTTCACCTACGAGTAATTTGTTATTCTGTCTAACAATTCCAATAAATTTCACAGGAGAATGAAAACAACTAAATTAATTTATTATTTATGATCACATAAACTTACAAATGGCTTTGCTTCACTATTATTCAAAACTAGTATACAGGGAGTTTTCTCAATACTACGAAAAATTGCAACCACAATGTTTTACAAGCTTTGTGCGCTTATTTTCCGATAATTACTTTATTTTTACTTCGGGAACAAATTAAATACACAGTAAAAATAATAAATGCACAGTAAAGACAATTAATGAATGTCTAGCAAAACTAATTAATTTAATATTCACACATTTACAAACAAAATGTTTCTGAGCAAAATCGGAATACCGCAAAGAGTTCAAAAACAAAATTGTGGTGACAGTGCAAAGAGTGGGCGCTGATTAGACTGATTACCATTTCTGCACAGTTTCCAGCCCTTGCTAAAATCATTCTTGCGCAGGGGCGCTTGCTAATACATAGGGGTGCGCCAGAACTCGCGCCCCAGAGAAAAATTTTAGGTAAGGTAAGATACCAGAAACATGGAAATAATGTTTAAAAAATTCTATGTCAAAAATTCTTGACATTTATTTTTTGAAATTTGACATATTTTGATGTATATTTAATGATCCTGATGATCGTGTATATGTTTTTTTTTAAATTATTTAGTAAAGGTACAAAAATTTTGCCAATAAAAGCCACAAATAACACCGAACAGAATTACAATTTAGGATATAGCTTCCTTGTTTCCTCTTTTAATAGCCTATAGCAAAAAAATTGGAAAATTACTTTTCCGACAGAAATAAATAGACTCAAAGTGCAAAATTTAAATCCTCATAACTTCGAAATTTTTATAGATAAAATTTTTTTAACATTTTTTCCATGTTCCTTGTATCTTACCTTATATGGCGTTTTTCTCTGGGGCGCGAGTTCTGGCGCACCTGTATACTACCCTCCAATAATAATAAAGATTCAATAATATAAAACTAAGTACCAACATTCTTGCGCAGGGGCCATACATTGTTTTGTAACCAAGACTGAAAATTCTTTAAATTTTATGTTGTTTTACTAATTTTGATTAAAGTTACTGAGCGTTTATTATTTTTACTGTGCAAATTGGAATTTTTTACTGAACTTTACTTTACTTTTTTACTTAGTATTTTTATTTTTCTGTGCAAAATATATTATACTGATCATTTTTAATTATTTTCTGTGCAAAAATTAGTTAAGTACTGATCATTTATCATTTTATACTGATCAAAATTAATTACTTATCGTTCTATTACTACCCTTTTACTTCTACCAGTGGCGTGTGTGTATTTTTCGATGTAAAATGTGTAGTTTTTTCGCAAGAAAACACCCTGTATATTTCTCATTCTTATCACACTAGCACTGTATCACAAAAAGACTATCTCTAATAACCCATATTTAGTGGAATAGTTTATGCAACTCCACTAAATCAAAGTCAATTTTCCTACTTTTGAGGTTAAGCAATCGCAAACCAATCATTTTAGGTGAATGGTTAAGTGATTTATTTGTATTCTGTTTCTTTATTAGTTGTGACAAAGAAAAATTTTAATAAAATCTTTAAAAAGCCTCCCATTTATTGTTAATTTTGAATTGTTTTATTACAATTTTTTCTAWATGCTTTTATTAGTGTTTTTCGGTATTTTTGGGAACAATTTCAATGTACAGAATTTGTAAATTTCTCAACAAACGCTTCTTTCTATTACTGTATTATTTTTTGTTTGTGTCTTACATTATTTTCATTTGTTTAATATTTTGTGAAAATGTGAAGAAAAAAATTAGGTTTTTTTTCAGAGTTTCAGTATTTTTCTTATCATTCCAACATTTTGGTTAACTTTATAAAGAAATCATAGTCTTCTGATCCCTCAAATGGAAATTTCTCTTTTACACATAAACTTCGCCCCTTTTGGACGAATTATTGACATTGTTCTGCGAAACCACCGACGTCTTCCTACTCCTGGAGCCGTCATTCGACGGCGTCAACGACGTCTCCGCCACAGCCCCCATCGAGGCCGTCGCCGTCGAATTCTTGCTCTCTTTCGAGCCYCTTGACGACGCCTCCGACACATCACTACTCCGACTCGTCAACTGCATTTCCTCTTCCGCGGGGGCCAATTCCGTCACCACCGCCGACGTCGGCGTCGACTTCTCCCCCTCAAAAACGGAAATAAAACTCGACTTCTTCCCCTCATCACTCCTGGCCATCAAAGGGCTGTTATGCACCGACGTCAACCCCAGACTCGTGAGCTGGGAGACAGTCATGGGGACGCTGACGGGAGTGGTGGTCAACACGGGCCCCAGACCTGGGGAGAGAACAGCCTGGGCTAGGGCGGCCGTTCCCGGTTGGTGGGGGTGGAGGGTGTTGTTGACCGAATTGGAACCGTCGAGTTCTTGGATCGGGGACAGGACCACCTGGACCACGGGGCCGTCCCCGCTGGGGTAGGTGGGGTAAGCGGTTTGGAGGTGTGGCATGAGGGTGATTCCGTGCGACATCTGGTTTTGGATGTTGGCGACGTTGGCAGCAGCGATGCGGTTTTCACGGTCCACCACTTCTTTTGTCACGTCGGGAGTGGGGATGCGGGGGCGGTTACGGACTTGCATGGGGGCGGCGCCGCTGAATTTCGAACCTGAGCAAAAAGATACTCGTTATAAGAAAAGGTGAGGTCTAATAAAACAATTACATGAATTAATTTTCGAAATATCAGTAACAAATGACAACTCTTCAAGAGAACGGAAGATACTTATATCGAACATTTATTTTAGTAAATAGTTAATTTAAGCAATGTCAATTTGAGTTATTTTATTAAAACTTAAATAATTACAAAAGATGTTATGTTAAGAATTGTTTTTGGAAGCTATCTTTGACTTTTATTCATTAAAATTCTCATTATAATAGTTGACAAAACGAGTTTTTGGCAAATAACTACGAATGTGTTTGATTTGAGATAGGGTTCTACTTAGAAAAATGTTCGTTTTTTAATTCCGCTTCGAATGATATAAAAATAAACAGGGGTAATTTAAAATACTTACCTTTGGAAAGTTTGATAGTAAATTGTGCACACCCTGTAGTAGTTCGAGTGAACCAAACAATTAACAAAACTGTTAGACTTTATTTAATTAGTACTTAATATAAATTTTATCAAGAGGGCACTATTTGTATTTTTTATTAATTTCTATAAGTAAAGGTGCAAAACCGATTTTTTTTACAGAAATGCCTGAACCGATTTGAAAAGCAATTTGGGAATATGTAAATAACTAAAAACACATCCAATGATAACAAAAAATAACAGCATGCCATTTAAAAAATTATATTATTATAACGTCACATTTTTCTGAAATGCGCCCTAAAATATAAATATAAAGTCTACAACATATTAAAATTCTAACTTAAGTAATGGTTGAGCTACAGAAGACCGGAGCTGAGATATTTGCTGTATATTTTGGATATTTGTCTTTGCAATTTTCTCGTTAACTATTTGTCGTAGAACACGCATCTTTTTTTGTATAAGATAGAAAATTAAATTTCCTTTTCAACGGTACTAAACATAAAAGGCTAGCACCAACAATTCCGGAGCTATTGGCAATAGACCGCGCTGGGTACCAAAAATCGACCAAAACCTTGACAAAAACCGAAAATTGTTAACTTTGAAATTGAACTAGAAAATGTTTTGTACATTCCTAGAGGTGCTATAAAAGATTCAAAAAAGCGCATAAAACGTTATTAGGTCAAAAAATTACGAATTTCTTGTGTTTTTGAAAGTGATTTCGATTTCGGTAATTGAAAGGAAATAAAGGATTTTTTTCGAATTTGTCCAATGTTATAATTTAAAAAATTGTTGTTTAATCGTACGACTAAAAGTCAGTTTCTTGTGTAAACAAGTGCAAAGGGTGCAAAAAAATGGTGACGGTGGAATTGGCTATATTCGAATTACTCTGTGACGTGGCGAATGGGAGAGATTATGCAGTCCCAAATGTTCATTAATTTTATATCTACATCACATTATAAGTCTAAACTGGTCAATTGAAATTATCAAGTGCTCAAATAAATTTAATAGTTGCTGTAAGTGTCTTTTTCATTATCTACAGTATGTCCCCGGATTGAGTTTACAAGAGGACTTTTTTTCTCTGCTTTTTAAGTCCTATCACATTGGCGGTTTTATTATTTTGACAATGATGTCACTTTGACAAATGAGTTTACGCAAGTTAAATAACAAAAATGTTTGCGAAAAACTCAAAGAAACAGCTTTAAGGTAAAAACTAAAGTCATTTTTAACTAGAACTATCATTATTTAATTAATAAATTAATTGTCAAAGTGACATATAGTTGTCAAATAATTAACACCGCCAATGTGATAAGACTTAAAAAGCAGAGAAAAATTATTTTAAGTCCAAAATCAAGAGAAAAATAAACTTTTGTTCCTACTGAGTTAGAATAACGAAGTTTTAATTACAGATTTGCTGGTTTGAAGTAAAGCAAAAACTTTTTTTCCTTTGCAGTTTTGGTGTAAAATCAAAGATAAAAAATTTTTCCTCTTGTAAACTCAATCCGGGGACATACTGAATATTTCAAAGAACTTCAACAGGTAAACACTTTAATTTTAAATGTAAACAATTAAAGATATGATTCGGTGGGGTTGTCATCAATGCGGTTTTGTAGGTCAAGAATTTGTATTCAAACCAACCGCCTTATTAACAAATAATTCTCTTAGTAATTACGAAAATTAAAAGGCGGGGAATCTGATTAAAAGGTTATTCTCAACATCAATGAAAAAAGTTGTTATTTGCCTTGTATTATTAATTTTCGGTAAATATTTATAAAAAATATACCTTGTTTCTTCTGATTCCTTCCCGACCTTCGCCCCACTAGTCTATCATAGATGGACATTTTTTGCGGGGGTGTTGCCCCTGGCAATTGGCCATTTTCGGGGTTTGCATAAACCGAATTCCCCCGATGTCGTCCAAACAACCCCCCTGAGGAATAAGCCGTCGAGGCTGATCTAATCGAACCCATGCCAGTCCTCGAAATCTGACGAGTGAACCAATTGGAACTTTTCCTTCTCTCCACAATTGGAGTGTCCACACTTTCCTATAATTGAATTATTTTTAACTAAATTACACTTAAATAAAAATGACGTACATAATCGGCATACATGTCGTCGTGAATGAGCGACTTTTTTGGTGCCAATAAATTGGCATAGAGCCCATCTGTGGTCTTGATTTTGTACATCTCAGCCGACCCTTTGGGTTCCTCTTTCCGGTAATGTTCCGACGCCACTGTGTATGGCAGTTCTTTGGGCACCACCTCGTCCCAGTACTGGTCCTTGAGCAGTTCGGGATGCTCCTCATGCATTTCATCGACAATCATGTAAGCAGCCTGCAAAACAATGACGAACCTTGACACCGTTAAATCAATTTAATTAACTTTGCGGGAAATTACGCCGAATTAGTGTCGTTTGTCTGGCAAAAAAACATTATGTAAACATAGTCACTACAGTGGCGGCGTGTCAGGGGAAAATAGAAGTTAAAAATAAAATAATTTATTTTCTACTCAATGTTAAAGAGTGCTTTTATCAACTAATTTCAGTAGATAAAGTAGTCTTTTATCGTCTAGTGAAATTAAGTAATTTTTATCTACTGTTTATATTCCAAGAAATTCTGGTAGGTTAGTACAAAATAAAACGAAATATTATACACGACGATAAAGATTGTGAAAAAAGTCCACTTGTGACTTCGTCACACGTAAACTTAACCTTTTCACTCGTAGATAAACAATTTCTTTATCGTCTTGTATAATAATTATCTATTACTAGAAATTTAAATTATTTGACTATTATTGAATCGTAAATTACAGATTTTATATAATTTTTACCTTAATAAATTTTTATTTGTACAAATGTTGATCTTTTCGCTATATAAATAATGTGTATAAGTAAATAATAGTGAACCAATTTTAAATAAATCACCCTTTTGCAGCTCTGGTAAGCAATGCGCAGGTCACTATTGTGGCATGTCGCTGAGAAGAGCTGAGATTTTTGAAAAGGCTAGTACGTAATTCAAAATGTTTTCAGACCAGAGAGTAACTTCGACTCGAACTTTTAGTGGGGTAGGAGGCAGCCCCGCCTTTTTTTATTAATCCAATAGGAATTAATTTTTCAATTTGGGAATACTGAAATCTGTCAATGTCAATTATCAAATTTGCAACGGTGTCTTTTGTAATAATTCAAGATTGCAAAAACGTCAGTTTTTTTAGTGTACAGATTTGTCAACAAGAAATTACCACCTAGGATTTGAACATTTAGGAAAATTACGTTTTTCATGTTGTTTGTAACTAGAATTTTCCGAAGTAGTTTTGTATGCCTAAGGTTGGTTATCCCTTGTTGTTGTCGGTTGACGTCAACCTGCTGTCAACTACCAATTAAATTATGCATACAAGCTGACAGGTGACTTAACCTAAATTTTGACACTAGTTACGATATCTTTTGTTTGTCACCAGTAACCAACCTAATCAAATTTAGAGCAACCTATTCACAAATATCCCTAAATCCTAGGGGGTAATTTCTTGTTGATAGGGCAATAGTATCTGATTATTGTTGAAATAAGTAAATATGTGCGTCTTGAGGATGGATGTATCTATGAAGAAGGTAACTATTAGAAATTGTTAGGGATCGACCAGTTTAATAACAAAGAAATTTTTTCGATTTCTCGATAAGTTATATGCAAAAGAATTAGGAGCACCTCATCAAGACTTACATAATATTTATTTGTATTACAAGGAAAGAAAGTGTATTTTTTCAAGTAAAATACGACTTGTCTAGGGCAGTACCCACTCAGGGATCAATGTAATACATATACTTTTTCCTACCACCCAGCAAGAAAAACTTCAATACTAACAATTTCCCAATTTTGCCATTAAATCTAGCAGCAGGTTTTTTAGTTAAGGTAAAATTTCTACCTCCCTGAGAGACTTTATATACCGGGTGTCCTAGGCAGGCTTGGATATAGGAAATTAATATGGAAAATTAGTTTTTATTTTTTTCCGGCTGCAGAAGTAACCAAAATGAAAATCTGATTAATGGAGCTTGGAGTGCTTGAAGAGGGCTATCTTACCGACATTTTTGTCAATTGTCCAATTAACTCCATTTGGGCGAAAACGACCCTCAAAAAATCAAAATTTGAATTTGCCGGGTTAGCGTTACTAAGAAACTAACTATCAAGTAAATGTTGTCAAAGGAGAATTTGTCATAATTTGACTTGATAGTTCGTTTTTTAGTAACGCCAACCCGGCAAATTCAAATTTCGATTTTTGGGGGGCGTTTTTGCCCAAATGGAGTTAATTGAAAAATCGACAAAAATATCGATAAAATAGCCCTTTACGAACACTACAATCTCCATTAATTAAATTTTAATTTCTGTTACTCCTGCAGGCAGAAAAAAATAAAATCTAATTTCCCATGTTAATTTCCTATATCCAGACCTGCCTGGGACAGCCGGTATTTTTATTGTAATTTTGACAGATGAGGGAGGTAATTGGCCACTTTCTTTTATGGATGGAAAAACTTACTTTCTGTTGGGGTCATAGGAAAATTAATTATTAATATAGTTTTGTAAATTCCTGGAATATTAAATATGAGTGGTTAACTGGAAGCAAAACACAAAAAAAATTCTTTTGGCCATTTTCAAGTCGTGGTGAGGAAGCATGGTCTAAAACTGTGATATGACAACTTAAAAAAAATACCAAGGGCAGCAGAAAGACACACTTAAAATCAAGAACATATGTATGAGTAACAAATTACATCTCCAGGATAAATAAAATATAGCCACAATCGTTGAAAAAAATTGAAAAATTTTAAAAAGGTTAGTCGATTTTTGTATTTTTCTTTGCCTCCTCTTAATAAAAAACTACGAGCCGCCACTGGTCACTAAACTTGACATTGACGACTTTAAAACAGTTTATCCCAAAGAGTGTCAATTATAGAGTGCGGTTTGCGGTCAGGGCCTATTATTAAATATAGCGAATTATTTGATCACCTGTTCGGTGGCCATCACCGAAGGTGTTTGACAAAAAATACCGTTAGAGAGGAAAAAAGAGTAAGTGAAGTAAGTAGAGGTTACTACACTTTACCTTGATATGTCTGTCAATGAGCCAATTCAATTCAATATCGTCGTCGTCTTCGCCGAATGGATTTATCAAAACTTCGGCCACTTTCAGCCATCCGACGTAAAAACAAAACTGTAAAAGAAATTTAGCAAATTTATTCGATTTTACTTTTATTGCTTACTTGTATGGCGGTGAAGAAAGGGAAGTACAAGTCGTGTTGTTCCTTTGTTCCTTTTACTACAGGCTGGTCAACTGTAACGAATTGGCGGCCCATCAACGCTGCTATGAAGTAAAGATATAACGCTAAAGAAACAACCTAAAATCAGAGCAATTGTCATTAAATTACAAGTTGTTGAAGATATTTTTCGTCCACTACCCCAAGCCAGATTATCTGGATACTCATGAGTTGAAAAAATCTGACCTACAACACCTGATTTAGAATTATTTTTAATAAAATTTAAAAAATTGGCGAAAATACAAGCATTGGTGTTGCGGCGAAGAAGATAGCGAAGGTAAGCTAGATAATGAAGAATTTTCATTTACTTGATCCACATTAATAAAGCAAAAACTAACAAACTTTTTCAGTTTATACATATTTCAATTATTAAATTAAAATAATAATCGATAAATTTTCAAATTAAGTTTGAAAATTGCACGTTTTTTTTACACAATATGCACTGATAGAAAAACATATTTCTCTTGTTTACCATTTTCTTAATTTCAATTTTTTGATTTATTTTTTTATTGTATTACCGATCTATTTTCATAAAAAAGCAGTCTCCAAATTCTTCTAACCTAATAGGAAACATAAAATCTAAGGCTATAAACAAATAACATTTCTGTAAAATTTTGATCTATTGTATGGAAAAATCGCCATTTTAACAAAAAAATTCAATTGTATTTTTTTCAAAACGTAATGTATTAATTGTAGAAAAAATTGAAAGATTTGATTGGCTTTTCTTTGTAAAAAAAATTGTTTAAGTTCGTGTTTGGACGCATCAAGACGCTATCCCGTCGCCAATCAGATGCAAGCATTTTGATGTCATATCAGACAAATCAAAGGGTTGTTTAATCGTACGACTAAAAATCAGTTTATTGTGTAAACAAGTGTAAAGAGCGCAAAAAATGGTGACGCTGTAATTGGGTAATATTCGAATTACTTTGTGACGTGGCGAATAGGCGGGATTTTATAGCCCTGAACAAAAACCTTTTAGGTACACCGGAACTATTACGAAATTGTTTTTGTGCCGTTTTTGAAAAAATTATTACAATAACGAGTCAATTTTAGCCAAGATCTTGTACAAATCGCTTGTCCGAATAAATTATTACTTATTTGGTGGTTCAATGCAAAACTGTGTTGAAATTGGGACTGTTCCATAGTAAGTGTGTGTTGTGTATTTTCGAGTGCGTAATAAACATTTAGTAGTGTGCGATTTTTTAAATTTCTAGTGATTAGTGAGTGCCAATAGAGCGACAAGACAATTATGCTACAAGGATCCGGATTAAAGGATAAGTCAACAATGACTTTTACTTTTTTTTTTTTAAATTACTTTTTTAAATTTTTTTAAATATTTTCAATAACTGATTGAACTGATTTTGTGTCCGTTTAAGAAGCAGAGGCGAATTGCTATAAAGGGTAGCAGAAGAAGATGCCATAAAAGTTAGTGCATTTTATTTTTTTGATTTTTTGTTTATTGCAAAGTGCAGTGTGTGAATTTGTGATTTTTGTGTGCAACAGTAAGTATTTATTAAATTATGAATAGAAATAAGTGTGCGTTTTAGGTAAAATGTATTTTTTTTCAATTTTTTTTCAAAATTTGTACAAAATGAATGCAAATTTATTTTTATAATAATTTTAACCGAAAAATTGAATCTTTTGTCGATATTTAAAAAAAAACATCAGCAAGAACAATTATATTTTCTATTTTAATAGCACATAAAAATATAGCAATATTGATAAGAACCCACGATTCCACGATTTTTTGTTGATATTTTTGTTTCATTGTTATTATTTCCCGTTAAATGACGCAAAATATAGGTAACACTTTTTTATCACAAATTGAAAGTTGTAGATCACAAACAATATTTATGGGCGCATAAATTTTTATATGCTATTATTGTTATCAATTTTATTTTACGTTTTGACACGTACAAATCTGGTAATTTTTAATAAGCACAATATTAAAAATAAAATTTCACAATTAAAAATGTAATTCAAAAATTCGAGGTAAAAAATAATAAAAATGCTCTTTTCTTATCAGTTTACATCCTCTACCGTCAGAAGAATTAGTGCGATGAATAATGGATTTGTGTAATTAGAAAAATCTCAAGGTTGCGTACTTTGTCCTTTGAAACACATTTTTAACATGCCTAATTAAACCTCATTTTTTCAAATATTAACGATTCGATTTGAAACATTTAAAGAAGATTGTATGTAAATTTCCTTGAGAACTTTTACACTTGATTATTTCCTATTCTTGATTTAATCTGTTTGTTTATATAATAGTACCTTGTTACCGTAATTGTCTCTTAGTTTTTAGGAAACTAAACGCTTCATTTTATCAACCTTCATGCTTGGTAAAGTATTCATGTCTGCATTTAATCGAATTGGATGATTCAGAATTTCTCAAAAATCACTTTTGGAACCAAATAAATTTCCGGTCGAATATTTCCGTACCATTGATACCAAACTAGGGTCAACAGACCGGTTTTTGAAAAGTTGCTCGAATAATTGATCACCTTGAGAGTTGCACTAATAAATACGTTTATTTAAAATTGAATTTAATCAAATATCTCATGAGATGTTAGTAAACAGTGGATAATTAGTGTGCAGGAACAAAAATTAATTATAATATCATTGCCAAGGTCGGAAAAAACCCAACGAAATTAATAGGAGGCAACAGTTTTTAATTTTTTTTATTTGATTACGCAACGTGAAAATTTGCAGCTGAAGGAAAGCAAAAGTAAAATTTAAAATTTCTCTCGATAATTGCTCATTAAATTAATTATGAATTAATCTGAATTAAACATGACCTTTGAAAAACTCACCTGTGTATAAACCAGGGGCACACACACCGTATCATATCCAATCAAGGAGCCCAGACGTCGTCGAATTTCCGATAATTCCATCAAAATCGTTTGGACTAATTGGTCGCTATTTATCAGATTTTCTTTTCGTGCCCTTATTATAAGATTCGTTGCCCACACCAAAGGCATCCAGTATTTTGACATCGGTGTTTTTGTGTCCATTAATTCGAAAATTTTCTTTTCACTTTCCAACATCAGACCTGAAAATAAAAGGATTTGCGGTGAAATTTAACTTCCTGGAGATGGTTTGATATTGTTGGCGCCGTCCGATAATTTTATATGCGATGGATAACTTTCCAGTTCCAATTAAGTGGCTTGTAATGCGTTATAGAAGAAGTATTTTTGAACACAACATCTCTTGATACAATTTTCTTTATGAGGTTGGTAGCAGAGTCAATGACCAGTAAATGTCAAACGTCAAAAACAATAAACGATACAATGGTACTATTATAATAAATTAATTATTTGAAAAGTGAAATTGTTTATAAATCATTAAAACACACCTAGGGAGTCCAGGATTTCTAGTAATTTAATTTTCTCGTTGGAGGTTTAACCTGACCTCAATTTTTGTGGTCAACGCATCATAAGCACAATGGAGGTGATGATAAATGATTTGCACTCATTTTTTATTGAAATAAATCAATGCCATTTCTTGAATCTACTTTTTGAAAATTCTGATTTTTTTTTATCTATTATTACTTTGTTGTTTTGTTTATTTTGTTTAATAAACTAATTTTGGTCAAGTTTTTTTTAATAATAAAAGAAAAATTTAGTATGGCGAGTTTTATATTTTTTGTATTATTTGTATTAGTCAGTACTACCAACTCAATTTCGAAGTCACAGACCACTTCGATCAAAAATTTAATTGAAATAATGTAAAAATTGTGTTTTTTACTAATTTCTTCATGTCATGGCTTTTAGTAATGTGGTAAAAAAGCAAGAAATTTCTCTTTGAAATGTGTGGAGCCGTGTTTTATAGAAATAATTATTGTGACATCCTAAATAATTCAGGTTCAAATAATTCAGAACTAAAAAAAAAACCTATCAAAAATTTTTTTTTAATTAAAATAGACAGCAAACTCTATTATTGATAACTTTTGTTCCCTATTTTAAATTGTGCTTTCAAGAAACATAAATTACTAATTTTTTAAAATAAAAATTGCGCAAATTTTCCAAATGTTGTTCAAAAACCAGAAATTAAAACCTATAATTAGTTTCCTATACATGTCCCGCCATTAACAAAAGTCGAATTCAAGGTTTTTTTAGCGCTCATTAAATAATTAATTAATCCCTCAATGGAAGTTGACCAAAATAAAATGAGAGATTTTATGAATCAGATTTTCTTAAACATCCTGTAAAATAATGTAGACGACTCAAATAGACACAAGAAAATAAAAACAAATATCGTCATATTCTTTATTTGGAAGTTGAGTAGCCAGAGTAGCATTCTTGAATTAAATATTTCACATTTACGAAAAAATTTAATGTGAGTCACACTTAAGTGTTATTATTATCGTATCTACGAACACATTATTTTGTCAGTCTTAATAATTATATAATACCTACGCAGTTTATTGATTGCGTTATTTAAGTTTTTAAACAAAATAGTTACTTACTCATTTAATGTCTGTCTAAAATTTAGAAGATTTTTTGTTTAAACATTAATCATTACTTTTTTTATATTATCAATAGTTCGAAAACGAGCTTGTCCAGTGAGAAATTTGAAATCAAAAATAATTTTTTTTTTCCAAATTTAAATTTGGCGCAGTTGTTTTCGTGCTCACGATCGAACCAAAGACATAAAAAATCTAAATAATCGCTTGTTTGTTATTAACACGTGTCCCATGTTTTTCTATAATTATATACAATATTTAATTACAAGTACCCATGGATTCATTAACGTAAAATAAAAACAGCAATTAACTCATGTCTTAAATTTATTGCCTCTATATTTAAAAAGTCATGAATATGTATCGTCATGCAGAATTTGGCTGCAGCAAAAACCAGTTTTGCAGAGCATAAACCCACACGAAACGCTTTTTCAGAAATTAACCCACGTGGTTTTGCGACCTAAACGCCTTAATTTGGTAGTCTTATGATTCAGCGTTGAGTATTTAAAATTTTCTCGTGTTTAGTTAAACGTAATTCCCATTGTCGCCTCAAAACGCACAGTTGAGACCGGATATTCGTGATTTTTTTCATATAAATTAAACTGAAAGGAAGCTATTCAATGTTCAATGTTAAAACGAGAACATCCTGTTTGATTGCTATTCACTTTCTAGATGCACTTAATCTATTGTTCTCGTTAAAACCAAAAATAATAACATTTCAAAATCGAAATTTTGAAAATAATTTATTAAATTCATAAATTGAACATCTAAAACCCTTTTTTTCAAAAACTGTTTATTTTTAAAATTTTGTAAAATGTTTTTGTCTAATCCTGGAAATTTAATAATTTTCGAAATAAGCTTAAATAGTTATTTATTCGACGAGTTTGAGTGTAAATCGGGCTCTTTATTTGACCGAGTGGATTTTTAAACCAGGAGTGTAACGAGGTGGAATAAAGCGTCTGATTTACACTCAAACGAGTGGAATACAACATTTTA